GACCTTCTGTCTTGTCCTTGCTGGCCTGAAACTATGTAGACCAGGCTGGCCTCTAACTCACAGAGATCCACCTGCCTCAGCCTCCCAAGTGCTCGGAGTAAATGCGTGTGCCACCACACCCAGCCCCATCCTTGATAACTTAATGGAACTATATAGTTGTGTTTAACCATATTAACTGTCATAGATGGGCATCTGCTCCTTGAGAAAGTGCACTCGTGTGGGCTTACTAAGTGGAGATATTTGCCTGTGCAGTCTTATCACCGTGTTACCAGTCACAAATAAAAACACTGTTTTTTTTGAAAATTTCCTAATGTTTTGTACTTTGTTTTAATCCCAAGGAGAGAAAACATATCTGTGTTGAAAACTTTAATGACAGTGAGCATTGCACACGTGTGGCTGCTGTGTTGTTTGTTCTATAAACAGCTCCACAAGGAACAACATCAAGTATTCAGATTAAGAACAGAGTTTTGGAACGATACTTGAGCGTTACATGGCCAACGGCAGCTGGATGAACTGAGGGCTGTATAACTCTAGAGCCACACTGGTTCCATCATCCTGAGATACAATTTCCAAGAAAAAGAGGCAAAAAGCTCTGGGTTTCTGTAGGGGTGGGGGCTGGCAGGGCTTTTGAGTGGCAGAGAGCACTTTATCCGGAGATACTTGAGTCTGCATCGCCCACATTATCTTGCTTCTAGAAGGAACCCCAACTCTCATTTCTGTGCTTATTACAACAGAAATCAACTTTTTTGTAAACAACACCGTGGGGACTTGTTGGACCCACCAGAGTCACTGTCCCGTGGCTGTGCTGGGCTTCCGTGCATTGTGACACCTCTAATCATTCATGTCTGGTTCTCCAGTCACTGCAGAGGGGAAAGACAGAGCAGTGTACCACTCACTGGCACTGGCAGTGACACACACTAGTTCTTCACCGCTCGTCGACCCGGGCAAGTCATGTGGCTATGCTTATTTTACAGGGTGGAAAGTGAAATTCTGTGTCCTGTGAGCTCAGCAATTCGAAGCCGAGGCTCGTGAACTACAGAGAAGGTCAGGGCGGCTTCGGCGTAGAAAGGAGTGCCTGAGTGGAGGTATACCGGACTCACGTATGAAAGGGCAGGGGACCAAAGCTGCACACATAGCCCCACAGTTGACTTTGGTGCGAGGGTTTCCCTGGGGCGATCAAGAATGGGTATCTATCTATGGAAATCTAATCTGGAGTGCCTTCTGTCCTTCCCACCCACCCTTCTTTTCCTTGGCTCTCGATTAAAGAAACCAACCAGCATTGACTTTTCTAGCCCGTAAGTTCTGAAATGAAGTTAGCTGTTTGGTTTCCAAGGTTAAGTAGCTAGAACAGCTAGCTTCCCTGTGCAGAGGCTCCTGTGGAAGACAATGTATACCAATGTGGTATAGATTTACTTTTATTTGTAGCGAGATACCTACCCCGCCGGCACCTGTAGAGGTATACCCTCTGACTTTACATTTTGCTTAAAGGGCACCCTTTGAATTGATAAATCTACTAAAATGGGTTGGTTGTAAGCAGATCTGTACAACTATAAAACTGAAATATTTCAGCATTCTAACTTGCCAAAGTATGAAAGTCACTGGTAGTCAGGTGATCTGCTGGTCATTACACACAACACAGCTGCTGTGTTTGTGTCGTTCACTTTTCTCAGACGCGTTGTTAATCTTGTTCCCAGTTCTTCCGTCTTTCCCGGGGCTTGGGCGGATTGAGGCAGAGAAAGGTTCATTGCACATTGTTGGTTGTAGAATGTGGTTTTTAAAAATACTTTATCAGAAATAAACTTCAAAGGGCTAGGGATGTAGCTCAGTTGGTAGAGGACTTGTCAACCCCCCCCCCCCAGCACCGCATACGCTGTTAGTGGTGACACACCCACCCACACCCACAGTCCTATTACTCTGTAGACTCTGTAGGTCCAAAGGGAGAGGGTCAGACGTTCAAGGCCATCCTTGGCTACATAGCAAACACAAACACAAAGCCAGCCTGAGATACTCAGACTGTCAAAAAAGAAAAAAGCTAAAGTCTGGCTAGAAATTTAATGAAAATTAGTGCTTATGGTTCTTCCTTTACTAAGTGTAAAGCAGAAACAAATTTCAAAACTGACTGACACATCACAAAGCCAGCCTCATCCAGCCTGGCTTCGTGTCACACACACACACACACACACACGATCGCCCTGCGCTGAGTCTGTTTCTGCGTGGATGTGGCCGGCAAGGACTCAAAGGACCTTAGGCCTCTTTTCCCTTCTTTTCTGTGTCATGTGTGACCAGTCATTGTGCTGTGAACCAAAAAGGATCAGGATTTTATTTTTACATGTCATAATTCTTTCTGTGACACTGGTGATTGGAACCCAGGAAGGACCTCATGCATGTGAAGGACCCACGGCCTCAGTGAGCCCCTGTGGTTTCCCTAAGTTGCCTGTGGCTGGAGCTTGCAATCTTCCAGTCTCAGCCCCTACCTCACTCATCTCAGGGTAATGGATTATTATTACCATGGCTGGCTGGGTCGTCACATGACGCAGAACATTATTTTGATGCCTTTTTCTTTTACTGATAAAATTCCTGATCTTGCTGCCCCCACATCCCCACTTACCTTTGAGTCTCAAACGATGACTATTAATGGAGGAATGGGTCAACCTAAAGTTTCTTTCTTTTTTTTTTTTTTTTGGCTAAATATAAAATAGTTCTTAGAGCATTTGTAACTGAGAATCACAGGTATTCTGTATATTTCAAATTGCTTTTTAAGCCTTTTTCAGTAAACTAATGACCTACTATGAGCTAAAGTTTGATTCACTGCTCGAGACTTTAGAGATGGACCCTTTAAGAGCACTAGAAACCGCCGGGGCGTTGGTGGTGCACGCCTTTAATCCCAGCACTCGGGAGGCAGAGGCAGGCAGGTCTCTGTGAGTTAGAGGCCAACCTGGTCTACAGAGTGAGTTCCGGGACAGGCTCCAAAAAAAAAAAATGCAGATAAAATGGTTTGAAAAACAAACAAACAAACAAAAACAAACACAAAAAAAAAAAAAAAAAAAAAAAGAAAAAGAAAACCAGAAACAAAAGGTAACTGATGGTGACTCAGGGCCATCTGTAAACCCTTCATTGTAAGGTGGCTTCTCTACATACAAAAATTTTTCCCCCTTAAAAACAACACTACAGAGTCCATCCTTGGCTTCTAGCAACACTGAATTTCCTCTGTAGCAACGCAGCACCACGGAAATTAGTTATCTAGTCGCTAGCCTTGCAAACCAAGTCTGTAAGAGCCTGTCACTGTTCAGCAGGAGTAAAACTCTTAACTGTCAAAATCAGCACTGTGCCACTAGGGATCTATCTTACCACCATAAAAAGCGAGTGCACACAGAAGCTCGGGAGCTTAGAGGCACAAAGGGACAGAATGCCAGGATAGGAAGATGCATCCGCACACATATGCTTTCCTGCAATCCGCCCCTCTCTGATTTCCAGAAGAGGGCGAGGGGGGGTCTATTGAAGAATTCATTCCCCGTGGCACGAGTTCAACACCCAGCTCCTAGGCTGAAAAGCCTCCTTATGTAGCCTTGCTGTGTAGAGCACACAAAGCCTGGAGGACAGATGCTCTTCTCTCCTACAAAAGAAGAAATCCAAGTGGCAGAGGGAAAACATAGTCTTCACACTGGGCAGGGTGGTGGTAAAAATAAAGGGGCCGTGTCTAACAGGGCGTATGGCACTCAGCTTGGGTGAAGGCTTTTTATTCTTCCCCACAGAGCATGCCACAGGGAGAGCCAGACACCAGTTTTACCTGGATGAACGGAGGGGGAAATCAGCTCTTCCGGACGCGCTCTCCAGTGAACAAGTATTTTCGGGCGGGAGGGGTGGGGTGGGGGGAGGCAATGAAAAAGACAAAGGAACAGACGTCGCTAAAACCCACAACATTTGCTGAAGTCAATTTCCAGGTTTCACCGGGGGCGTTTTAAAAGATTAAAAAAATAAAATAAAAACAGCAAGACTCACGCTAATGTCACTCCCCGTTCTTTCATTCTGGTCCTCCGAGGTGGCACTGAGCTCCCGGGGGTGGAGGTGGACACACACTCACACACACACACACACACTCACACACTCACACACACACTCACACACACACAAAGGCCGCCGCCGCTCCCCGCGCGCATCCTCCGGCGCTGAGGAATGCGGGCTGGACGGAGGAGGAGGGCTCGGAAAACATTTGCACCGACGCTCACCCACAACCACAATAATTTATCTTTGCTCCGCGGGAAGGTCAGCTCGGGTCTGACCCCCCCCTCCCGGCCCCCAGCAGCCGGTGCATCCCCCGGGGTCAGGGCCGCGGCGAGGCGCGGAGGACGAGCCAGTTCCGCCGGCCGCGCTGCCCACGCCCACGCCCACCTGTCCGCCCGGCTCTGCAGCTCCGGGCCCGCCCCACCCGCCAGGACGCCCGCGCCGCCGCGGGGCAAGCCCAACGCCACACCTCAGCCTGCCCAGGGCGGACCGGGCCACAAGCGGCGCGGATCGGGTCTGATCGGATCGGATCGGAGCGGAGCGCAGCAGCCACGCGCGGAGCGGATCGGAGCGGATCGGATCGGAGCGGAGCGCAGCAGCCGCGCGCGGATCGGATCGGAGCGGATCGGAGCGCAGCAGCCGCCCCCCCCCCCACAACCCCGAGCGCGCGGCACCTAGCAGCGCGGCGCGCGCGCACACGCACGCACGCACACGCGAGAGCGAGCGTCGGGGGCGCGCACGGCCGCGCGGCGCGCACGGCGGGCGGGCGGGGATGGTGAGGCTGAGGGCGGGGGCTGCGGAGGCGGCGCTCGGCGGGCGCACCGGCCGCGGCTGAGGCTGAGGCTGAGGCGGGCGGAGGCGGCGCGGGCCGAGCCCGGCGGAGGAGGACGCGCGCGCGCGGCGGCGGCGGCGGCGGAGGAGGAGGCTCCAGGCGGCCTGCGGTGCTCGGGGCCCGGCCGGCCGGCCGCGGCGAAGGCAGGGGAGGAGCGGAGCGGAGCGGAGAGGAGCGGAGCGGCCGCCCCGCCGCCGCCGCCGCCGCTGCAGCCACCATGTCGGCGGGCGGCCGCGACGAGGAGCGGCGGAAGCTGGCCGACATCATTCACCACTGGAACGCCAACCGGCTGGACCTGTTCGAGATCAGCCAGCCGACCGAGGTGAGCGCCGTGGCGGGAGGGGCCGGGGCCGGGGCCGGGGCCGGGGGGCGCGGCGCGCGCAGGCCGGAGACGCCGAGGCCGCGGGAGGGGAGGCAGAGCGCGGCTTCGGTCCCCGGGCCGCCCCTCCCCCGCCCGCCCGCGCGCCAGCCCGCGGATCCGCCCTCGCCCGCGTCCCCCTCGGCCTCCGCCCACCGTGCCGGCCACCAGGGTCCCAAGGGGCGCTCGTCCTTGTCGCCTCTTGCCGCGCCCCGCCGCCCGGGCGGGGTCCAGGGCTGCTCGGTGGCCTGCAGAGCGGAGCGGGGCGGATCGGATCGGAGCTGGCGGGCCGGCCTGCCGGCCACCTGCAACCGCCCGGGGACGCACCTGGACGTGCACTCGTGTCCCCGGGTCCCCTCCCCACCACGTGTGCACCGCACCCGGGGTCGCCGCCGGGACCGCTTTCCTAGCCGCGTACCCGTGTGCTCCCGCCCCGCTTGGCGCCCGCGGGACTCCACCTGTGCCCGCACAAGCCACCTGTGCCACCCGGCCCCCACCTGGCAGCGCACCGGGGACCCCCTCCCCCGCCAGCCCCGCACGCACACACACACACACACGCGCGCGCGCGACACCCTCCCCAGGCCCAGGGCTTCCCCCGCCGGCTCCGCCGGGCGGACAGTGAGTGTCCTGGTCGCCGCCAGTTTTCTTTGATGGCGTCTTCCCAGTGTCGGGACGCGCCGATCCCGGCCCCTCCGAGGCACGTGACCGAGCGGCCGGCCGGCCGGTGCCCGCGGCGGTGTGAGCGAGCCCCGCGGTGCGCCCAGCGCGCGGGTGTGCGCCCGGGCCTGGCCGTGCACGGTGGCGGGGGCCACCCCTGCCCTGCTGCAGCCCGGGGCAGCCGCAGTTCCGATCGGGGCTGCGGGAGGGGTTCCCACCGGTTCTGGGGGTGGCGTGCACGCAGGTGTCCCGCCGCTTAGTGAGTGCCCCGGAGGTTGTGCGGGCAGAGCTGGGGTGTCTGGCGGGAAGCCTCTTGTGACAGCGCGGGGAGAAGGACGGGGAAGAGGAGGAGGAGGACTAGCACTGCGCAGCCCCACACTTTACCCGGGATTTGTGACGGATCAGGAAATAGCTCTACTTTTGATCTGTTATTAAAAAAAAAAAAAAAAAAGGTGCTTGCTGAAATACAGCAGCAGCGCTTAGCCGCGAAGGTGTGCATGTGTTAGGTAGGTTTGGCACAGTCTCTGCCGGTGTGATCGCCTTCGTTCTTGGCTTTCCCCCTTTGCCTGTGGAGGGGGAGGCGTTCTCTTCCTCTCCTGGCTAGCACACTTGACCTAGTTAGGGCCCTTCCTCTGGAGCTCTAATTGACAAGCTAAGGTAAATGACTAGGTTCAGGTTGCCAGTTGAACACCGCGATGTTAGGTTGACTCCTGATTCATAATTCGCCTTCTACAATGGTTTTACGACTTAGGTTTTAGTAAGCACATTTACCGTGTAGTTAGTGTTCATTCATACATGTTCTTTAGAAATTAGCCATCTAGTAATTTAGCTTCAGCATTTTATCTTGTCTTTCAGAATAATTAGCTTGATTTTTTTTTTAATGGCAGGATAAGGTTTGCAGGTGAATATTGCTAGTCATGCTTATTCTTTTTCTGTGCTTTGAGAGTTCTGGAGTATGGTTAAGGAGAGGTGTCTTTTCAGTCGAGAGGTAGTATTCAGCTCAAGGTTTAGACTTAAACTGAGACGTTAACGTTGAAGCACTTCAAATAAAGTATATTTGATTTAATTTGACTCTGTTTTTATAAGAATTAAGTTGAAACTTTTACGTATCGTTTTGGAGATGTGAGCAGTTGTTAAAGTTGGCGTACTTTTTGGGAGTCCTCTCCCCTCCCCCAGCTACTCTGCAGGTGAAGAGTTGTGTAGACCCGGAAAGAAATTAAAGGACTTTATAAAAAGCGAGATTATCTTTTTCACACTGCATTATCCTCACTTACATCTGAACAGTTCTATTTTTAGAAGTGACTTGCAATTGAAAGCTTTCATATTGAAGTTACTTTTCCAAAAATGTCTAGTTTTTCTTAGCTTTACTGTTGTGTAATGTAATGGCTAGCTCACATTTTCTGTTTTGTTTATTGGAGAACCTTTGGATGCTATTAAAGTTATTCTGTTCTTCAATTTGAAGCTAAGCTTTATGTTTAACATATTACGTCATGAAAGTAAATTCAGTCCTCTAAGGAAAATAGTCTGAGGCCTGTAGTTTCAGCCTGGTTTGTCTAAGCTTGTTTCCGAAATTAATTTTTACCATCTAATGCTTGCTTTTTGTTCCATTTGGCTGTTAAAAATCAAGCAATTTAAGTATACCAACTCTTACTAGATCTTCAGTAAACATTGAAAAGATTCCTTGCAGAAGTTTGATTGTGGAAGATTTAAACCTTATATTTGTTTAATTGGTCCCTCTTTCATGTATGTTTGTAAGAGAGTAATGAGTTGTTTTTTTTTTTTCCTCTTGTTTATTTTTGGTATCTGTTACCATGTTTTAAACTCCATTAGTCATCCGTGACTTGGTGGGTTTTTTTTTTTTTTTTTTGCAGTTTTGATCACCACTGATAATTCTTTGCTTTCTATATCTAGCAAGATGATAAACTTGAGTTACATTTGCTTTTAAAGAAAGTTAGAATATGTTTTTGGCATCGTCCTGGTTATGTTTGCTTGTTTTTTTCTTCTTCATGTTCACACTTCTGTGTGTGAAGTGAAAAGGGTACACTTTTAAGGAGCCAGCAAGTTGCTGTTGAATATTTTTCAGTCATTCCCTTACTGGGGTCCTAGGTTCTTGTGTACTTCCTGACTAGGAGATTGATGTTAAGCTGAATTAATACCTTGACCGCCATAGAAACAAACAAACATGTTTCTTAAAGCGTTTTGGGATTCTCTTTCTTTTAAGGGTAGGGCTTTATTGCCCTAGGGATTCCCGATGATTTATGATGGCAGAGTGCCCCTATGAATCCTTTTAACTTCCCAGTACCTTTTTAGAGGGCTTCTCTGCTTGGTCACAAGTCTCACCAACACTTGTCATTAGACTTACTGGTTTTCTTGCAAAACTGCTGTCTGTCAAGATTGGTACTTAGTAAACATTTGTGGAAAGAAATATTGAATATGATTTACTTTGTGTTTGCCTTTATTCTTGACAAAGTGTGGGATAGATGCCTTATAAAAGTTTATTGAAAATCGTTTACATAATAAAGATTTCTTTTATTCTTACTTTTGCATAAAGCTTATACTAATAAACTATGCTAAATTATTGACCTTTTAGCTTCATGAGATACCTTTTGGTCATTTGTGTTTTATTTATTTGGGTTTTTTTCTTTTTTCTTTTGGCCTCAGGGAAAAATAACCCACAGTTTGTATGAACACCACATATGCTTTATTATTGGTGAACATGGCTCATTCTGACTCCTTGGTTTATCTTAGAAGTCATGTGATGATGTTACCTAAAAGATGTGTGCAAAAAATAACTTGGAGATTGCTGTCAGAGATGGACTAGGAAGTCTTCAGGGGAAGAGGTGGTGATCGCATAGCTTATTATAGCTACATCCGTGTTCTCGACTGACAGGTTGTAATATGCTTTGTCATGCAACCTAATTATGCTTGAAAAAATTTTAAGGTCACAGTGGTGGGTAAAGTAATGGTATCGGTAAGAATCTTTTTTTTTTTTTTTTTTTTTTTTTTTTGTGACTTTAAGTGAAACAGGTGGTTATTGGTGAGATTTAATATTCATAGGCCCCTTCCTCCCTCTCTCCCTTCCTCTCTTTTGTTGATTTTCAAGACACGGTTTCCCTGTAGATCAGGCTGGGCTTGAACTCACTGATCTTGTCTGCCTCTCCCTCCTAAGTGCTGGGATTAAAGACCTGTGCCAGCATGCCTGGTCATTCTGTTCTTTTTTATTGTTATTGAGATAGTCTCCCTTAAATAGCTATGGCTGGCCTGGGGCTAGTGGTCTCTAGCCGCAAGCATGCATGCTTGATTACTTTTCCTCCTTAGCTTAGTGACCTTCAGTGGTTGTTATAATCCCTTAACTGGTTAATTTTTGTGTTTAGTTAGCTCTTTCTGATTTGTCTGATGCTGTTAGGATTTTTGTTTTTGTTTTTGTTTTTTTTGGTCTCATCAGTAAGAAATTTCCCAGCACTCTGGAGGCAAAAAGCAGGCAGATTTCTGTGAGTTCTCTAGACTAGCCTGGTCTACAGAGTGAGTTCTAGGACAGCTAGGGCTGTTACACACACACACACACACACACACACACACACACACACACACACACACACACACACACACCCTGTCTCAAAAACAGAGACACAGAGAGAGATTGAGATTATTATAACAGTTTCAGATGATATCATGTCCAGATTTTTTTTTTTTTTTTTTTTTTTTTGCAGGTTAATTTCTAACAGTTAGCTGATTGAACTGTTTAAACAACTTGTTTTCCTGGAAAATTCTGACTTGTGTAAAATGCTTCATACCCCGTATTTTTATTTGAAATTCACACATAAATGAAAGTCAGAGATTTATACTCCCCGTTTTTTCCGCTTGCAGTCATATACTTAGGTACTGTTTGACTCTGCTAATGGGAAGAAGGGAAAAGTAATGTTGACAAGGAAATGTCTCTCATGGTAGCCAGTTCTTAGATTCCGTGCTCCTGCGGCATGCTAGCTGGCTGTCTTTTGGCACAGTTCCTACACATGTGGCATGGATAACAATCTGGTTGGTGTCTTCGAACCTGCCAACCAGGTAGGTGTCCCTTGCCTCCTGCAAGCATCACCAATGGCTGTTCTCTGGGAGCGCAGCTCTGTCTTGAAGTCCTGAGCAATTTTCCATACCAGATAATTAATGCTGGGAGGGGGTTTGAGAACTAACTGGAAGCTGGCATCCGGTGGTGTCTGATTCCACAGAGTGCCACAGTCCTAGGCCTGTGATGACATTTCTTCATGTCAGCATGCCAGTGACTGCTGTGAAAGATTTCCATGGCTCCTCGT